AGTCCTGAGCAGATGAGATTTTGAACAGCTGTGATGGTGGATGGGCAGGAGCGACGTCTGAGTCATCTCTGCCCACTTGAGACTTCAGCCTGAACCTGATGACCTGTAGACTGTGGATTTGAAACAGCCAAGCATAGCTCTAACTAGTTTATCTTGGGGAAAAACAAAACAAAAACCCACGAGATTAAATTCCGAAATGAACTTTCACTCATGTCCATTACTTTGTTCTCCTAAAGAAATCTGTCGCAGTGGTGAGAGGCAGGCAAATCTCTGCGGCCAAACGGATAGGATTCATCAGGAATGGGCAGGGTTCACGCTTCCAAACTGTAAGTCATTTCCCAAGCCTGTCTCGCTGTCTCAAGCTGGAGGGAGAAACTATCTGGCGGCTTGGAACCATCTCTCCTGTTTGGGTGCAGACGCAACTTAAAGGAAAGCACCTTTGGGAACAGGCCTCGGCAGATCTTCTCCTGTGGACTTCACCTAACTGTAATTGTAACCCCTTTGGCGTTGACTCCAGGCAGAGCCCTGCTCTGTGACACTGCTGTGCGTGACTCAGAGGCCCGGCTGGGTCATGTGCGCACGTGGCTCAGTCAGCCGTGGGCACCGGATTAGAGGTGCGGAATTTTTGTTTCAGGGGTCCTCATTTCTCCTCCCAAGGAGTTGGACAATCTACCATGCTCTCTCAGATCAAAACTTTGCTGGCAAGCAGTGACGCTCAGAGCATTCTAACAGGTCACACTTGAAGCCAATTCAGTAGTCTTATTGCTTCCAAGACTCTTGACACTGTGATATAAATGCAGCACTTGGGAAATCTGCATAGTTCAGGGCTTACTGGGAGTCATGAGTCTATTAAACTGGCAGCCAGCTAACCCACCGTGCAGACGCGAAGGAAGAGATTAAAGGAGGCAAATCAAGCCTTACTCATTCAGTCATCTGCCCTCAAATGGATTCATTTCCCCCCAGCCATCGCCCAGGGATGCTGGTGATCAATAGTGTCGATCCAGAGCTCAAAGTGAATGCCACACTGTAGTGCATGCTACATCTCTGAAGTGCCCGTTAGTGGTTGTCTGCTCCATCCTACCGCCTTGGAACCCTGACCCCATCCCAATTTTTTATATGGAAGTAACAGATAAAAGCCATTACTTTATTCTTTGATATTCCATATATACTCATATAATGTTCTATTTTTTTTTAATCTTCTCGAAACTCCGTCTTCTTTTCCGTAGATGGCTCAAAATAGTTCCATGGGTTATTCCTTTTTCCATTGTGCCTTGTGTGAAACTTGTGCGAGCAAAATGTCGATGAGTCCGCAATTTCCGGCAGCGATTCAACTCCAAAGAATTTGGCATTCCTCATGGAATAAACAATGAGGCTTTGATTGCCAACTATGCTGAGCTTTTCTCTGAATTCTCCTGGTGCAGATCCTAGGGGCTTCTCTATGAAACTGTCAAAAGAAAACGGGAGTTTCTCCTCAGATATAACACGCACTTTCAGTGCATGACCTTAGCGGGGTCATTAAGGAATGAAGTCTTGTCGACTAAAGCCGATGTTATAGGCAAAGTTGTACCTCCTTCCCTTCATGAATCTTTTCTAGGGCTTCCTTACAAGTGCTGGTGACCGTTCGGCCGGGTCAGCTTCTCCAGTCCACCCTTCCAGCACGGGAAAGGCAAGTCCACAGCCCACTGAGTGTCTGCAGGGAGCGCTGTCTTCTCCGTGTGACAGGGACAGTAGAGGAGGCTCCAAAATGGACAACTCTGTGGACATTCTTGGGGTGGATTTTGGATACCGCCCTTCTTTCTACGGGCTCCATAAGGGGCCATAGGCCATCCAAATCGTACCCTATTCTCAGCAAGGGACTAGAAGTCAACTCAAATTTTTACATTTCAGTTACGTTTGGACTATACTTAACTCTTTTGACCCCCTGGCCCCCCTCCCTCAGTAGCTCATCCTTTCTTATAATCTTTCATTGCCTCAAATCTAATCACCAAAAAGCCATTAACCTCGTTTTTCGTATCCCATGAATGTTCATATAATTTTCTATGAGACACAAAGAAGTCAGGCTCGACCCCACTGAGTTTCTACTCTACATAATCCAAAGATGTCCATTTTCTTTGTGAACAAAGCTATGAAGGAGGGGAGTGGTCTGGGGACAATCCTCCTGACTGCCCAAGGTGACAAAAAAAGAAGATCCTTTAGCCCAGCAAAGGGACTACTCTAATTCCCTCAACAAATACTGCAGCTTGACTGCCAATTGGCTGAACTTGTAATCTTCAAATTGTATAAGCATTGGAGGGAGAGATTTCCTAAAGAAACAATCTAACAAGAAAGGAAGACTTTTTTAAACTTTTAACGTTGAATAATCTAATAATCTTAAGAGAAAACATGTCATTGATTAATCATAGTTTTTCCATTTATTGCATTTTAATTTAAATAGTGTGGGAAGCAAGGGACCCCTGGACTGTGATTTAGGGGATCGTGCTTTGGCCTGGAAGCTAAGCACTGGTCTCCAGGCCCAGAACCTCAGTGAAATCACTCAGCATGCTAATATGAATCAGGCCAACCAGAAATATAAATTATTTCAAGTCCTTTCGACTTTGGCTTCCTAAGCATCACCTTAGACACCAGTTCGTGAGTGTATTTGATCCATGCAGCTGTTGTCTTCACTTGGTCTCGTGAGCTTTCAAGCAATGGGGTGAGGCAGAGGAGAGGGAAGGAAAGTCCAGATACGTGCAGTGTTTTGCTGACATGCCGTGCATTAGGCAAATGGGGATGTCCCACGTCCCGTGTTGGTCACTGCCAGACAAGGTGCTGAAAAGGCAGCCCCCCCCCGCCCCACAAACACAATGAGACAATGAGACGGGCCTGTGCTTAGCTGAATGACATCCTTACACTTCACATTCATTTCCAAGGGGCTGGCTACCCAGGAACCTTCCTGTTTCTCTGTGCCTTTCCAAGCGCCTTTTGAGTCTCCATCTAGTTTCATTCCCTTTTCCCCATTCAAGGTTCTTCGCCAGCCTCCTGCTTCCTTCACAGCCCACCTCGTAGTCTCTCGTTACCTGTACAGTCTCTCCAGGACCCCGCTTTTCCCCTCTCTCCATCGCAGACAACCAGACGTCTCCCTCTGCCCTGACTCCATCCTCTCGCTCCCTGGGATTCAAACCTCGGTCCTTTGGGCCGCTGTCACCCCGGAGCCCACTGTCACCCCGGAGCCCACGCGAGGCACACTGCCTCTTCCTGATGCCAGGACCCCCCATCACATAGGCAAAGGGGAAATCCAAAAAAGAGGTGGGAAATGCATTTCTCTTCCTTTTTTTAAAGTTTTTTTACTCTCTTGTTTTTTTACTCTACTGTATTTTAAGAAAGCTGAAGGGAGGTTGTTCTAGTCCTTCTCAATTTCTCACAGATCGCGCTTCAAAATGTCCAGTGAGAGGCCATTCTTAGGAAAAACGATTAACCCTCCAGGTCCCTGACTATGATGCATATGAACCTCAAATGGCTTTCTATGCTGCTGTACAAATGAACTTAAATCAGTGTCCATGTAATCATGAACCCGTTCTATTGCCACCCCCATTGTTACCACTTCACGTGATCCAAACCTCTCTACAAGCCTGACTCCGGCTGATGACACTGGGTGATTATTTTCCAGTGAGCTGTCACTGTAGCTCCCTAAAATCAAAGCACTTACAAAATAGATGCACGCAGCTTTCTAAATAGTCACTTGACCTGCTCCAATGTTGGCTTTTCCACTCAAGTATGGAAACAAGTCTGCAGATGAGGTCGCCAACAACATGGAGCAATAATGCGGTGTGGACCGGGGGAAGGTACTCAAGATAGGAAACCTTTCTGAGGTGCTCTCGGGTTTCGTGAACTGTAATAAGCTCGTGTGATTCAGGGGTTTTCCCTTTAAGTTTTTACAAGTATGTATTTCTCATTTGTTTGCTCATTGGCTTTTGTCAAACCAAAGGAATGCCCATGAATTGGATTTGTAAATGTCCTTTGCAATGAAGTATTTATTTTTTAAAGGAAAGGGTGAAGGAACCAAAACTGATTTGTACATAATGATTGTGTGTGTGTGTATTTTGTTCCTCCTAGACACCACTGGTCACCATGTCAAGTGTATTTTTGTACACAATATATATTAG